ACATAAACGACTTTGATTGACTATAATTTATAACAGACGTTTTCAAACCTGTCCAATTTGTTTTTTCAAAAATACACACGAACTTTTTATCAAAATCTGGATTATCCCACGCACACACAATAATAAGTTATATACTTCTCTCGAAGATAATTTTTTCGCTTGCCGACATGTATCGGAAATAATGCTTATTTATTTGATGGTATTGTTTTTTGAGGCTTGAGAACCATTCAAATATGATCAATCGAAAGTTGATTTCTTGTGTCATTTTTTACTCATTACGATTAATTTCCCGTTAATTTAGGTATTAAAATTTAGTTTATTTTTATTATTTTTGAAAACCATTCATTGTTGGTGAAAAAATATTCTGTTTTGCCAACTGTATCTGATTGTTTTTTGTTTTTTAAAAAACACAATTGGACAAAAATTGTATATTAACTATTGTTTTTAGAAAAAAATGATTATTAAAAATTAATTAAATAAAGCTTTTGTTCAACTATTAAAAAACAAAACTTTTACCAATTTAGGTTATGATTTAAAAAAAGCTCTTTCTTTTTTTCTTTGTCAACAAAAACCAGCTAGGACAAAAAAAATCCTTTATCCACCACTTTTCAAGAAAAAACCCAAATAATGAAAGGAAAAAATGCGAAAATCTTTTTTTCATTACAAAAGAAGAAAAGAAGCAATTTTTTTCTTCGGTAACCCCTCTGTCGCCGGTAACGGCTCTGTGGCCTACCTATAAAACAACATTTAAAAATCGTTTAAGACTTTACAATTGAAAAGTTTTATTTTATTATTTTTTAACTATTTATTTTATTTAATACTGTAGTGATAAGCGAACGTGTTTAAATGTTTGTGTTATGTTATCGATGGCCATTTTTTAATTATTGAAATAAATAAAAACTTATTATTAGTTAAAATGTTGCATTATTTGATGTTGTGGTGTCCTTCATCACATCATTTGTTTATTCTTATATTATCGTTTATCTTATGTTTGTTAGAAATATGTGGTTTTACTCACGTTCGGTTACGAAATGAACCACTAACCAAAAAACGAACCTGGAAAATTGGGAAATATTTACCCATTATTTGGGTGATTTCCCGATTTTTTGTTCGATAATTGAAACTGTATTGGTTTTTAAGGGTTTAAACCTGTGTACCGTTGTTGGTCCAACAAACAGGAAAATAAAAAATAATACAAATAAAAAACAGTAAATAATGGGAAATTAGGACAAAGGGTTTATATAAATTTTGGAAACGGTACAGATTTTTGAAATACAGTTTATAATAATAATATCACCTCAAAGGTAAAATATGTATGTGAATTATAAAAAAATCATATAACATATAATATCAATACAATAAATTAAAACTATACAAATCTAAACAATGTATTAATAATAAATTAAATCGTTTACATGATCTATATTAATAATTATAAACTTATAGTTTAAATAATTATATATTTATTATTATTGTGTAATGAACATTTAAATATTAGGATGGCTATGTCTACAAAATTGAGTATTTTATTCAAAAACATTTATAAATCAAAAGCAGTAAAAGGACAAAATAATTATTTAGTTTCAATCATAATAATTAACTGAAACTATATATTAAAATATTAATGAATATAGTTAAAAGACAAACATATTGAATTATTGTTTATTTATTCAAAAATGATTGTTAATAAATACATCATTTATCAAGATCGATAACATTATAACAACACAAATACAAATACCAAAAGAATAACAATTTTAAAAACAGATTTTCTAAAACATTGACATATTTTTAAAATACCATTTTATTTTAAAAATAGAATTTATATTAAAGACCTTTAAAAACAACCTTAACAAATCACAACACATTAAAACCATCCAACTATAACAAATAAATCAAAATAGGTTCAATATTAACAATAATAATTGTCAAAACGTGATACACTACTTTACACAAATTATAACGAAATCAACTTTGCTATTAAACAAAACAAAATAAACAATCATGTTTTTTCGCCAAAAAGTATAAACTTTTATGAGTAAAATTATTTCATTTTTTTATGTTCATTTTTGTAATCATTTGAACTGTTTTGGTTTTTTTGATTACAACAAACCAATTTGACCAAAAAATACACCATGTCTTCTTAATAACGTATTGGGCTGATAACAGTCATTGTCTCCATCATATTTTCAACAAGTTTTATTGAAATGCACTTTTGGGCAATCATTTTGGCTGGCGGGAAAAACCGCTTCACTACAATTTAATGATAAAATTACACACAATTATAACCAAAAAATCAATTTGCCTTAAATATTTGAATTTTGGGGAAAAAAGGGGACCTACATTGACCACCACCACCTCTGAAAATAGATTTATTTTTTCTATTTCGAATTATATTCAAATTAAAATTATAGTAAATAGGAAACTGGGATAATATTAGGTCTGGTTCCCGAATTCAATAAATACCGTAAATTCACCTCAAGTCAGTGGAAACCGAGTGAGACGGAGCATTGAAAAGAAGGCTCATAAAGACGCAATCAAACAGTCTGTTTGTGCACCGTTTCACCCACTTTCCAAGTCCTCCCTTGGCGCGGATCCCCCTGACCCCCCTCAAGCGGGGGGAACCACATCCGCGTCCACACAGTATGGACAAGGAAAGTGGGTGACATGGGGACGCACAAACAGAGGCTGAAAAATGGACTTCTTCCAAAAAACACTCACGGCAAATATTTTTTATGGTAAAGGTGGTGGTCAATGTAGGTCCCGGAAAAAGCAAAAAACACGAGAAATTATAACAGACATGCGCAGCGCCCTTTTACCGCTTCTAATAATTTACATAAAATTATCCGTCTTACATTGTTTTTATTGACCAATATTAAAAAATTGCTTCGTTTATTTTATAAAAAAGTTTCAAAAAAGCAAGTACAACGAAATAACGAGTCATTTATCGCTTGCTTGACACGTACTTAAAAAAGCTGGGAATGGATGCACTCACGTTCAGTTGGTGAGTAAGTCCAAAGTGAGTTTTTTCAGTTTGGCAGTAAAATGCAATTTTGAGTGAATGAGGAATCCAACAAGAGGGGGTGTGAAATAAAGGTGCAGTCGGTCTTTGCTGAGAGACATTGAAAAGTGGTTTATTAAAAAACATGTGCTTGCCCGTTTATTAATTATGTTGCTCGAGAGGTAATCGATTTGTCTGTTGAGTATTTGTTTAATGGACGATTAAAAAATGAGAAAAAAATAGTAAGGAGTGAAAGGGGGTGTGAAAAAAAGTACACTTGCGGGTTAGTGTTTTTGATTTTTTTATTTCTGCAAAAAAAATGAAAAAATATTTGAAAAAAGTTCATTTTATTTTGGTTATTTTGGCTTCAAAGAACAATTTCGAAGTTAATTTTTCTTGCTCCTCCTTTTATCAATCGGCAAATTTAGCCTTTACTTTACATAAAAAATAATTCACAAATTTCAATAACAAACATCGGCATCTTGAAAAAGTCAGAGAGACTCTTGTAAACCTTGTTTTTTGAACCAAATCAAGGAAAAGGAAAAAAAACTATACAAAAAACTATAATCATATTATCATTTAACCATTAAATTATCAAAAGCGGTTTTTTACTACCCCTTTATACTTTTTATTTTGTCTACCGTGTTTTTTAAACTATATAACGATTTATATTTTTATTATTAATTTACTATCAAAAATATAATTATTTCCAAAAATACATTTCATCATGGACAAACGCAAAACAACAAGTACTTTTGTTATAAATTAATAGTTAAAAAACTAATTAAAATTTAAATTGTTTTTTTTGAGTCACTTCGAATAACTTTGCAAAAATAAGTGAATCACATAAGTCGACCTCTTCTATCTTTGATCCCTTTGTGTCGCTCTTCTTTGCGTACTGGTGTTGTGCACCGGGAATGTTACCAGCTGCTGCATTCTGTTGATACATTTTAGTGAAGATTGGCTTGATCTTATCCTCAGCTTCTTCTGTTTCTGTGTGTGTTCATCCTTTGATGCCGATTGGTTCTTGTCGAGCCAGTCGAGTGTCTCCTTGATGGTTGCTTCAATTGCTGCCTTGTCGTATGGTGAGAGCTTTGCTGCAATTTGCTTGTTGAGTGTGTTTTTCATCGAGTAGCAGAAGTTTTCAAGTCCATTCTTCGCCTCGACAAGCTCCTTCATCTTGTCGTCCTCCGCCTTGAACTTCTCTGCGTCTGCAACCACCTTGTCGTATGTACTTTTGAAAGTTTTCCATTGTCGTTAGTGATTGTGATCTTGTTCTTCTTTCCCGTTGTCTTGTCTTCAGTTGAGACATTCAGAATCCCATTTGTATCAATGTCAAATGTGACTTCAACTATGGGACTCCATGTGCTCTTGTGATTGATGTGTAGAAGTTGATTCCTTCATACAACTGGTCGACTTCAATGTTTGCTGTTGCTGCCAATGACAGTGTTCGCTTTGCCCTTTCACATGATGTTCTGAGTCTTCTGACTGCTCGTGCATTGACTGAAATGTCTTTCTTGTACTTTCTCTTGAACTCGGCAATGAAGTGGTTGACCATTCTGTTATCAAAGTCTTCACCACCAAGGTGTGTGTTGCCGTTTGTTGCCTTCACTTCAAAGACGCCATCGTCAATAGCAAGAAGTGAGACATCAAATGTTCCACCACCAAGATCAAAGATCAAGACGTTCTTTTCTCTCTCCGTCTTCTTGTCAAGTCCATATGCTATTGCTGCTGCTGTTGGCTCATTGATGATTCTGAGCACATTGATGCCTGCAATTGTGCCTGCTTCCTTTGTTGCCTGTCGCTGTGAATCGTTAAAATAGGCTGGACATGTGATGACTGCGTTGTTGACTTTCCCACCAACAAACGCTTCTGCTGTCTCCTTCATCTTCGTCAGCACCATCGAACTGATCTCCTCTGGTGTGAACTTCTTAGTCTCTCCCTTTTACTCCACCTGAATCAACGGCTTGTCATTGCCATCGTTGACGACAGTGAATGACTAGTGCTTCATATCTTCTTGAATTGCTGGATCACTGAATCCTCTTCCAATCAGTCTCTTTGCATCAAAGACTCTATTCTTCATAATCATAGCAATATAGTTCTTTGCTGCATCGCCAATCAGCCTCTCACTGTCTGTGAAGGCAACAGAACAACACATGATGACTTGTTCTGTTGCCCTGATCATTTGCAATTTCCTAAAAATGCATTTCGCAAGCCTTTTAATTTTAAAGTCTTTATCACTTCAATAATCACAAATGCATCATTCAATGTTATTAAACACTCCGCATTTGTTTTACCGTCTTCACCTTTAACACCAACAATCACTACTAAATGAGTTGCGTGGATGAATCTAACAAGAGGTGATGGTATACTATTACAACAGTACATAAAAACTGTCTAACAAATTTTGACGGACAATTTCTTCCCAAATTTCTTCTCCACCTACATCGAGAACTTGAATATAGCAGCCGCAAACTTCTTCTCTGTTCGGTTATTGATCATAGATCTTAGTTGAGACTATCAGTAACAAGTTTTCTCCGGTTTCAAACGACTTGACATATATCTCTTTAAAATGGTTACTCATGACAAGACTATTTTCTCAAAAAGTAAACCTGCTTGATTTGAAAAACTTGTTTGTTTTTTAATTATAGTTTTCATTATACAATTAAATTTATTATAAATTATATCTTGAAAATTAAATTATAATTATTTAATATATTTAATAATTAACAATAGTTATTGTATAATTAAATACCCATAATATTAAATTTGTTTGTATTTATTGATTTATAGTTTGATTTTATTTAAATTATATTAAAAGGTGAGGTTTAATAGAAGGATGTCGGTTGATTCCTTAATCATTCCAATAGCCCTCCTTCCTGCCCGTTCACGGTGATGGGTGGGTCGTTTTATAGTTTTATTTGATATTGTTGAAAATGAATTTTATTATAGTAAACCCCTTCCCGAAATATTACGGTTTTTAAGACTGTTTTATCATTAAAAAAACAACCCGAAATTTTTGAGCTTTTTTGACTGTTTTATATATAAAAATATTCATTTAAACAAATCGAATTAAAAATTGGTAATTAGTTTTTCAGAGCATCCCCAACATCCATGTAAGCAACTTTCTTTTCAACGCTCATGTTTGCTCTATCAAGTTGTCCAATTTTATTAAAAGATCTTTCAACTGGGCAAGTGGTTGGACTCTTAGCATTCATCTTTTTCACAAGATTGAATAAACATGGGAATTGATTCTTTTCTTCTTGAGTCATCAAAGCAAACAAGGTGTTCAAAGTTAGTTTTTTTACTGTACAACTTTTTAAGAAATCTTCTGCTTCTTTTTTGAATAAAGCCCTTATGTGTTTTCTGTGTTGAATGGCGTTTGTTCTCTTTTCTTTAACAATTTCACTACTGCTGCAATCTTCAGCGATATCTGTTGCTTCTGTTTGATCCGTACTTGTTAATCTCACTTGTTTAACAAGAGTACGTATCGCCTCAGTAGCATCAGCCCTTTCTTCCCTTTCCAACCTGTTTGCAATTTCTTCGACTTTTTCAATGTTGGCACAGTACCAATCTTGCAACTTTGTAAATTCCGCTTTTAGTTCTTAGTCATCACTTTCCTCGAATGATTTTGCATCAAAGTTGTTGTAAATTTTGATGTTTACTACCAGTTCTTTTCCTTTGAGTTTTCTTTGTAATTTCCCGAAATTTGCCATATTCGTTCCTTTGACCTGGTTTTCCTTCAACAATCCAGCATCGAAGAGGTCTTCTTTGGTCATTTTTCTTGAAGGAATTTCAAACCTCAAAATCATTGCTTCACTCAACTTAACGAGCAGGCGAATTGAATACTTTTTCAAAATGAATTTTTCGTTGTCGTCAAGATCTTCAGTGTATTTCATTTTTTCTAAATAATCGGTTAACACCACATTGTGTCTGAGCTCGAAGATATTCGAAATTAAATCTTCAACACGTTGATAGGCCACCGGGTATAGTAAATTGGCGGTCTGTAGACAATCGTTAATTATCTTCACCTTACTGAGCACTATTTGAGTAAAGAACATACACGCAACAAACAATTTGCAGTTGACATTACACTCACCCATAATGTTGCGAGGTCCAAAAGGCTTTTGGTATTGTTCTCTTTCACTGTAAAATTCTTGAAGTGAAGGCAGATTCTCAAACATGTTATCAAGAATCAATACTGTTTGGAGCCACCTTGTTTCGGATCGTTGAATCAATTTGAGAACTGCACCTTTGATATGATTTTTGGCACAGAATTGATCCCATGCTGTTCTTGTTGTCTGAACTGTTAACCCGTCCAAGAAACTTTCAATAGCCAGCCCCCATTGAGATTCAAAACACTTTTCAGTCGCTTTATTTGTTCTATGTGAAAAGCAGTAGTTTGAATCAAATCCGTTCAGCCCGTCTCTCTTTCTTTATTTTAGCCAGGAGTTTACCAGAGAGTCCACCATTTTGTATCAGAACATAAGCTCCATCAAAACAAGCACCAATGCATTTGATGAGGTCGGCATCCATCAATTCCAATATTTTCATTATCCAACTTAGCCACCCCGCTGCATCTGTTTTGCCGTCATAGTTTTCGATTTTGACTCTCTTTTCTTCAAATGATCCATCTGAAAACACGAATCTTACAAAGAGAGAAAAGTACTCGACCCCACTGTACATTGCTGAATCGGCCATTAATGTATAATAGTCACACTGCTTGAAGATTAGTTGTAGGTCATATCTGGATTTTTTCGAAATCAACTCAAATCTCCGTTGCATAGTTGAAGAACTGAGAGCGGTGTTAACAACTTTTTTTAGGAACATTGGACATGAGCAAAATTATGGATATCAATTTTGACATGGAATCAATTTGATTATTTGTCAACCCACACGCTCCCATCATCAATGCAGCCATCATTGTTATAAAGCTGCCTCTTTCATTTCCAGCATCATTTGTTGTTGAATAACTATCAACATTATTACCAAGTCGTCTTTGTATTTCTTTGTTGGTTTCTTGTGCGATATACTCGGCGGAGTAACTATTCTCTGGTTTGAGGAGCTCTTTAATGTGTTTCATTTTTTCCAATTGTTCGATCTCAAACACAGTAAATTTTATTTCTTCTTTGGTCGAATCGTTGGTATTTTGAGATTGGTTGTCGGTATCCTGGCTATAATCAACATGTGTCGCATTTCTTGTTTGTATTGTTGGAGGAGTTGGAATACAATTTGTAATAGCAGGAGTTTCTAATAAAGTTCCAGAGTCCACAATACCAGTTGAATTTTGTCAAACAACATCTTCACAATTAATAATAGGAACATCAAAACTTTTACTGATATTGTCGAGTGCTTCTTGTGTTGACTCACTGTGTAAAACAGTGAGTCAATATGTAAAATATTCATTTGGAAATTTTGATAATCTATGAGTGGAAGAACACGAACAGATTCTTCCAATTTTTTCAATAAATAATTCTTAAGGTCCTCAAATAAAGTATAATTTGTTTGTTTTAATTTTAGCTCAAGTTCCTTCCTCACTTTCAACAAATCAGCACCTCTATAAATGTTTGGTGCAATTTTTATTTTATTGTGAGTCAACTCACATGATTTGTTTTTTCCTCTTCAACAGCTGACTATTGAGCACATTAAATTAAATTTGTCAAAATGTCATCAAAAATTTAAAGTTACCAACACTTTTAAATTTGTTTGTTCTTCAGGTTTTGCGTTGACAGCGTGTTTGACATATTTGCGTCTATTAAACACTTTTCCACAAAAAATACAATAATGATATTCACGCAAACGATCGTGTGGGAGTTGCGCTTTTATTTCGAAAGTGTAAAAAGTACGGAACTCTTCAAAACGTCTGTTGGTATTCGGGTTTTGCATATGTTTGATATTTATAAGATTCTAACAACAATAAAATACATAGGTTATACTTTTTATATATTTATAGTATCGGTTTTAACAATATTATTATTTTTATCATATAATTAAATTATGTTTTTCATTAAAATTATATATATTATAAATATATTAATATATCATAAAATACAAATATCATTAAAATATATGTAATTATATTTTGGACTATATTTACTTAGATATAATATAATTTATAAAATCATATATTATATATTTTTATATTGAATATAACTTAAAATTAGTAATAATATATTTAGGATAAAAAGACAACTGTTAAATTTTGGTAAATATAAGGAATAATCATGTTCTTAAAGTGGTAAATATAAGCTGAATTTGCAAATTCACCAAAATGCTCAACTTTAGTTATACACGACCTGAAAACGCGTTGAAAAAAATCATGCAAAATGTTATTTAACTACTTTCTGTGTTTTATTGTGGTGGAAAAAAGTCCGGCTAGTGTTGTCGAAACAATCCCCGAATATTCCAGGAAATTATTTGGGGAATTTTATTTTTTTATCAAATTCCCGAACCGATTCCGGAATCAAAAAATATTCGGGAATATTTTTAACCTCGGTTCGGGAACATCCTGATTCCCAAACTTAAAAATGGTATGTTCCCGAACCAATAAGTTCCCGAACACACAAGTTCCCGAACTTCATTAAAAAAAATATTCTCAAACTTTTGATTCCGGAACATGGCGGTTCCCGAACCGATTCCAGAATCACCAGTATTATATTAAAAATTTTTTAATAAGCAAACTAAAAAAATAACAACTTTGTTTTTTAATTAAAATAGTAAAAAAATTAAATTATTTAAAAAACAATAGAATAATATTTGTCCAACCATAAAAAACTTGTACAGTCACAAACCGTACTTAAATGTTTTTAATTATTGTTCATTTTAAAACGTTAAACAAATTTAATAATTAGACACCAATAAGAATCAAATCAAAATAATAAAAATTATCAATTTTTAATTTACACATAACTTTTCAAGCATCTGTTTTTTCTTGGCTATTATATTATGTTAATACAAATAAATACTCTGTTTGTTTTTATATAATATTATTATAATAATCATTTCAAATAAATTGTTGATTTTTAAACCAAATTGGATTGTTGTAATACCTATTTTGGTTTTTAAACAATTAATAATATCTAAAAATGCAATTTATTGACATTGAATTAAACTATTCAATGATTTTTTAAACGTTGTTTGGTTGACTAAATTACATTTATAACGTTTAAACAAAATTTATGTAAAAAATCAAAAACTTTAAATATAAATGAAACTTTAATATAATGGTATTTTAAAAAAATATAAATTTTCAAATTTTAATAAAAATAACAATCAAAAGTTAATTATGTTCAACATTTTGTATGTTTACTTAATGTTTTTTCAATGTATTATAATAGAATGAATTTGTTTTCTATTTATATTACACAATAAACTTTTTATCATTTTGTTGATTATCATAGTTTTTTAAAATTACAATTCTAATTACCCACGTTATTTTTTGATACCTAAAATGTTTATTTCTTTTGTTAAACCGTACATTACAATACCACAATTTCTGCGATAATTATTTAAGAAACCAATTTTGATAATTATCGGTTTCATTTATTTATTCATTCAATAAAACTAAAAATAAAAATAAAGATTTAAAAGTTTCAAATAATAAAAATGATTTTTGATAATTGTTCATTAGAAATACACAAAAAAAATATGAATATTATTTGTAATATAATTTGTTTTTACTCATTTTAAAAATCTTTCGTTTTTTTATTTTGAAATAATTTATTGGTATTTTTAATATCAATAAATTGTTCAAAAATAATCATTTTAAATTGAATAAATTTTAATAAATTGTTTATTCTTCGGTTGTTACACAAATCAATTTTAAACATTGATATCAAAATTTGTCTGGTCGAATTGTTTAATCATTTAAATAGACATGGTGTTTAATAATGATATTTATTGTGTTTGTTTTAGATAATTTTATTTTATAAAGTAGAATTTTAAATAACATTGGAATTGTTTTATATTTTAAAAAATAAGACTAACTTGATATTGATTAAGTTGTAAATTTTATAAAAAATTTGAAAACAACAAAACTCAAATTCAATAAATTAACAATATAATTATAATGTATAAACAAAAAAGACAGTATCAAAATACATAAAAAATGTGCGTTTTTTGATTTTGTAACTTGTATGTAATAAATTGATAAGTATACAACATATAAAGTTTGAAATCACATACTGAACAACAGGAAATAAATTAAAAAAGTAACTTTGAAGTAATCACAAATTTTGGTTTATGATATGTAAAGACAAATATTTCTCATCATATTAATTGGGTGTGAGTTGTAATAGTAAGTGTTATTATTAAATGTTTGTAACTTTTTTTGTTTTGTCTTTGGAATATAGATTAAAATTTTCTTAATTAATTACAATTTGTGTAACAAATTTTTTTGAGATATTTGCACATTATAAGTTACATTGTGTTAATATGTTTAATGTACTAATTGGTATATTATTTTTAAATAATACAATGAAAAATGTGACATTTACAAATAATATTTATTTTCCAATTTGATTATTTATCAAACCTCAAATAATAATTATATTTTAACTTATTACATTTAACAATAATTAAAATATATTGTTTTATGTTATTTTATTTTAATTGTTTTTAAATTCATTTAAATGATGTTAATCAATTTGGTGTTAATTATTGCTTTCAGTTGTTTTTAATTTAAAACGGTGTATAAACATTGATATTATGTTTATCAATTTTGTCTTTTCATTTACAACAACAACGATTTTATAAAGGACATAAGTTATATTTATGTTATATCATCACCACTAAACACCAAAACAGTTTTAAACAATAAAATATTTTTTGTTGTATCAAAAATCAATTACATCAAATATGACTAAACAAAAGTCAGTTTAAGAGTAAACATTTTGTTTGAATTTACACTTTGAAAACACAAATAAATATGTACATGAACTTTGATACTATAGTCACTCAACCAAAGTTATTTGCTTTAAAATTGGCCAGTATCTTTTGGACTAAACTGAGTGGATATTTTCTGTAAATGATTTTAAAAACCCATTGAATTCTTTTAGTTTTTCACATTTTTTAGTTTTTACCCAATTTTCATTATTTTAAACATAAATACGACTATTTAATTAAAATAAGATAATTTTTCTGAACACATAACGTTTTATACCGACTATAGCCAAAAAATGAAATC